CAGTGATCAGCCGCTGCAGGCAAGAGGAAGCAATTCCTCAGTCTCCCCTCCCCAGTGAAACTTTCTTTAGCAAATAGAGAAATGAAAGTATCTTTACATCTTGTGCTGTCCCGTGAACTACTATAGCAAATGATAGGATTTGATGTCTGAGAATTATCTATGCATTCCGCGGTACCGTTCCCATCCCTTTACCTGCGGGTCGAAGTTGACGCTGATTAGTTTTAAGGGCTCATCCCGCGTGATGAGAGGTCGCATGAGATTGTACTGGGACTTCTCTGAAACTGTCTTACACCATTCCATGTACAGCTTATCTGTGTACCTGAAAGAAGAATGGAGCTATCAGACCAACACGCAATACTCGCTAAGTTTACATTCCGATCCAAATTAATCAATACGGATATTTATTCCATCGCCACAGCAATTACAAAGCTAAAGGATGGTTTCACTCTCCTCAATGGGTCCCTGGTACGCTTTTATCATGGCTTTGTGGGAGGGGCAGAGACATAAACTACTGGGGGGAATCTTACCATTGTGGGAGGGGCAGAGACATAAACTACTGGGGGGAATCTTACCATTGTGGGAGGGGCAGAGACCCAAACTACTGGAGGAAATCTCACCATTGTGGGAGGGGCAGAGACACAAACTACTGGGGGAAATCTCACCATTGTGGGAGGGGCAGAGACACAAACTACTGGAGGAAATCTCACCATTGTGGGAGGGGCAGAGACACAAACTACTGGAGGAAATCTCACCATTGTGGGAGGGGCAGAGACACAAACTACTAGGGAAATTTCCACATTATGGGAGGGGTTTCATGTGACTAATGGGAGCTGCCCTTTTTATGAGTCGTATTTGTCCTTATTATAGGGCCTATGCTGAACACTGAAATGCACTCTCAATGTACTGCTAGGAGCTCATACAGTAATCAGTTTGGTCAGAATACCCTTATTAGCTGTACTGCAAAAATCAGATGATCTATGCACTAAGAAGAGTGCACATACATGAATTAACACGGACATCATGGCCTGTGCAGAATATTGAGAGTCTTTCGTTCTGCACAGAGTAAAGTTTATTAATTAAACTCCCGTCGATGTTCAGATGTGACAGAATCCAGTTTACTAGCCCCACCAGCCGTCATCCCGCAGAATAATCTGAAGTTTACAGATTGGCCCCACAGATGCCGGCTATTGGAATTCTGCGTCTGGTCATTGATCTGGAGAGGTAATTAAAATTTTTCATCCCCCCTGCTCACAGCCCAATTAACAAGATGCTCTTATTTCAAGGCTTTGACTTCACAGGAGTCTCCGGAGGACACTGCGGGCCTTTGTAGCCTTCCAATTAAAGCTGATAAACTGCCCTTTGTGCTCACATGCTGGAAAAGAGCGGAGAGCCTCCGGTGTGTGCCGGCGCTGTGTACACCGACGTGTTTGCTGGGCAAGGAGCAGATGCCGAGCCAATGCACCAAGAATCACGGGTGTGCAGGAGCCCGGGCAACATAGATGTCGTCATGTATGGAAGAACGATGAACATCACGGCCACATACACAGCAGGCTGCAATATTATGTTTGAAGCGACACGTGTCCAACACGTGGCAAACGTGCAAACCACCTGCACCCTGTCCTACGTCAATGGGCATTAGTGGCCCAACATTCTCTACTCTCCCCAGGCTGTACATGGACAGCGATAAAATCCTAATGAACGAATCTGGGACTGAATGGCCAGGAGGCACTTGTCCAAATACAAATTTATTCCAATTCAAAATCAGCTGGAAGACCGTGCAAGAGATTTGAACAAATTTTGGAGGACAACATTCGCCCCTTTCATTAAGGCTCACACAGCCATTAGAGTAACATAGGCAACACTGATGGCTGTGTGAAGTGATCTCCTCTGTGTGTGCGCCATGATGAAGGGGGTGAGTGTTCCTCGAAAAGTGTTGGCTCTCTTGAATGCCAAATGTGTACCCATCGCACTCCTGACCGAATAATAATACCCTTAGAGTCGGGTGGGTGCCAAAGTGACTCCACATTCTGTTTGCCTGGAGAAGGAACCGCTGTTCCGAAACGTCGCTATATGATGTGATAGCAATCGAGTCAATAAAACGTTTTTGACTTGAAATACTATTGGAGTGCGAGTGACTTTATACATATACTTGGCTCTCTTGAGTGGTCACCCACCTTTTACATTGGTATTAATTTGCATCTGAACTATTAACTCATAGTGTGTGACGTGCGGTACCTCATATTCCGGGTGAGGCATTCCCCCACCCCGCCCCCTGCCGGCTGAAGCCACGCCCCGCAGGATGAAGCCCTGTCCCTAACCCCACCCCAAGCTAGTGTGAAGGAGGAAGGGAGGAGACAGGGAGGAGCCTCCCTGTCACTCACTAACTACCTGTCAAAAGCCGGATGCAGCGCTGCCTGTAATTAACAGTCAGCACTTCATCCATGACAGGTGACACAGCGGGGAGGCTTTCCCTGCTGTGTAACCTGTTAGATGCCGAACTGAATGGAGAAAAAGCTGTCAGCTTCAGACTTGAAGCTGACAGCTTTTTCCTCCACAATTCTAGGTGAGGCGTTGCCTCACTTGCCTCCCCTGACCGCACGTCCCTGGTGTGTGACACTTCAATCTCAAATTAAATACGTGCGATACAAACAAATGGTAACTGTGGGAATCTTTTGGTGTGTAGAAGCTGCCAGACCAGAATGCAGACACTCTGTACAAGCAGCACTGGTATACTATTGGATATTACTAATAGAACAATTCCAAGGTTTCAGCGCTACTCCTCTACAGAGATCCACTTCAAGAAACATCTGCCAGAATGCTGACAATATGAATATGGATCTTACTTGTCAAGCAGAGCCATCATCTCCTCATACTTCAGCGTCATTGTTGTACCTTCACCTGATTCCATGCACCTGCAAGAAGAAAGTTCCCATTTACTTAGAGCACGTCAAGAGATAACAGACTCCAAATGACACAGCCAATGGGTAATGATATGGCTCCAGTACTGCCACACTGCAGGTGACGACACCGTGTCTGTAGCTCTGGTCTGTGGCCCACACACTGTACACCTACGGCTTCTCGGTTACAGACATCGGCATGAGGGGAGGTGTTTGTAGTACTAGCAGACTTCCTGTACTAGGGTGGAAAGAAGCTCCTCCTCCATAAATACAGTATCATGAATAAGCATTGTCAACCTAAGAATGGAAGTGTGTTACTGGTGGGATCACCAGGTGAAAAAGAAAAACCCTTGAAAAAAAAGAGAGAGCGGATGCAACCAAATCATCTAAGAGAAGGATGCAATTTTCTCTGTCTGCAGATTCCCCCAACTTAAATTCCATACAAGCAGAATACTCCACTTCCTAATACACTGATGCGTTTCATCCCTCGTTAACAGAGCATGGGCAGAGAATCATACAACTCTAGGAGGAAGCCCCAATAGGATGGGTGAAACGTGCCAGTTTTGAATAACTGCAGACATGAGGGAGTGTGGCCTTTCTTTTGGACTTATCTGTGTGCTTGTGGCCATGGCATCAATAGCCATGAAGTGTTGGGGGGGGGCGGTTGCTGGTGGTGCACACTAACCCGGGGGGTAGGGGGTTTGAACTTTGCATCATCTGGCAACCAGCGACGTCACTGGTTGCCAGGAGCTAAACGGGACACCAGCCAGAGCGTCCGAAGTTGCTAAGTGCTGGGCCTGGACATGTGTATGGCCCTTAAGGCCGTGACACACTGCACGCGAAGCCGTGCAGAGCGAAGCAAAACTATCCGGCACGGAGCTTTGCGTGCAGTGTGTGAGCTGACTGCAGTCAGATGATTGACTGCAACTTCAGCCAATCGGCTCGTCCGTAACAACCAGCCAGCTGTCGCATACCGACGCGCTGGTTTATTTGCGCGAGCCGATTGGCTGAAGTTGGAATTGTTGATCTCGGCACGCTCAGCTCCGCGAGCTCTCACCAGCTGAGGTGCCCAGGAGAAAATGACATGACACACTGCTCGCAAAGGCAGCACGCCACCGCTCCGCGCTGCTTTGCCTGCAGTGTGTCACGGCCTTTATACATCTCCCAGCCCAGCTCTTAGCAACCTGGGATGCTCTGGCTAAAAAGGGGGCAGCAGGCACACTGCAAACATTGCGCAACAGAGCGGCCATGCGGCTCTGCCTGCTGCCCCCCCATGTAACCCAAAGAGATGCCACCTGAGGCAATAGCCTCACGCTGCCTCATTATGCCTCCTGGCTTGTGGGCAGAGATGGGGCCCAGAGATCACACTAGGGGCTGGACATCTGGGGCTGACAGGGAGTTTGTAAGCAGTCTCATGAGATGCCAACACCACATTGAAGGGCTCGAAAGCTAGCAACATATTATATTCTTGCTCTTGGGTTTGGACATTCAATCCTTCGATATCCAGGACTCAGCCAGCCTTAGAAGCTGTAGCCTTACTTTGAGGTGTTGAGGGAAGGCCCAGCTTCCCAGTAAAGTGAATGGCCCATGTCACATTGGCAATTTCGTAGCAGCGATGTGTATCTGCTATACAATTGGTCTCCTCAATGTTTTTGATGCTAGAAAAAAAAATGAATCACAAGTCAATAAAAGGTCTATAGCACAGAAGCTCCAACGGATTTGGAGACCAGTCACTAGACAATGACTATTTGCAGGGTTTGGAAGCTACAAAACAGCCGGCCCAATGCAGCTGCTGATGACCGTGGCGCACCAGTGATTGGTAGCGGTGTAGAAGAACACTGGAGTCAGTTATAGCAGCAAATCTGTATTCAGCTACAACACGCCAGAGAAAACAAGCTGAGAGATCTGTACCTGCTGCATCTCCCTGCTACAAAGTCATCGGTCCTGAAACAAAACATTAGTCATTCTATAAAATAAAACAAACCGACTTCATCTGTGCAAAATCTGACAACACCGAGCAGCACTAAATAACTGCCGTGTCCTCTCTAGCGTAGCGACGTTTACTCGTCTGCCTGTCCATAAACAGGGCGATATGAAGAGGACTCACGGGTGTGTGATGTGCCGGAAGTTGCTGTAAGGGATTTGCAGTCTCTCTCTCAGTTCATTGGCCCAGTTCAGGTTACCAGCCACCAGCGGCATATTCGTATGTATGTGATGATATCCTGTGAGCAAGGAGAAGGTTATGCGTGGGTCTGGAACATTTTACACCTTTTTGTAATGAGAGATATATCATTGTGGACACGGAGCTGAATGTACCTTGCTCCACGTCTTCCATCATGTGATGGTCAAAGATGGCCTTCGCGTCGTCCAGCTCCTGGTCAAACATGGAAACAAGCAGGGGGTACTTATCAAACGCATCCTGCGCTATCAGCGGACGGTCCAGGAGACTTCCGAACATATCCACCAGCTGGAAAGAAAAGCACACAGACTATGAGACCCTCTTGTTCATAACAATTGTACAAGATGTTATGTACATTCTATAAACCTCCCCCCGCCCCCGACCACATGACAGGAGAGCAAATCTCAATTTACTTAGGCATAGAACTCTGAATTTTGGCAAATCTTGCTTAGGAGATTTAATGTGGCCAATTCACCAGCTGTGCATTTTTTAACAGGTTTGATATCTACCTGATTGTTATTTTCTTATACATTGGCCTAGTCACGTTTTTTTGATCCCATTCCATCATAGCCAGAATTACGGAAATATAAAAAGATTTTTGTTCTCGTAGTTCAAAACAAACCAGACCAGTATGTGTATTTGCTTTTAACCTTACCTGGACTGTTTTAATGACTATTTACAATGGGGCTGTATTAAAAGTTTCGGGCTTTCCAGGCTCTGCCAAGTATTGTTTATGGCCAGCCTCATTAGCAGGTTGTGCAGACCCTAAACCAAGCAGGACTTATGATATTGCTAGAGGTCTTATGACCTTCTGTTAATAGAGTCTAAGGGCGATTTATAATGGCCTGCTGTGTGCCTAGAACTGATTGTTTAATCTGATTGTTTTGAAGCTTACTTGCACACTGTGGAGAAATGAGGATGGTACTGTGTTCACTACAACTCCCCATATTCTTCCCACTAATTGGGAATCATCAGACCTCATTATCAACAAATAAGCATTGACACGAGGTAAAATAAGAGGCTGTGTATGTGTGTTAGTGTGCGTTGCCCTTCATGGTCAATGGTTCCCCAATGTGTACGCAGACTTAGAAAGTGCCCCTGCCCCTCAGCATGCCAATTGTAATAAAGAACACATGTCCTGCCTTGTTGGGAAGTAAAATGGTTATTTCAATATGGGTTTTTTTTGGTCCTTGGATGCATTGAAAGTGAACTCAATGTACTGTATGTCAACAAGAAGGAGCACAAATGCCCTAAGGGTGCCCCCTCTCCTCCACCCAAGAAGGTTGGGAAAAATATCGCAGACCTATAAAAAAAAAATGGAGTTAATTCCGGTATTTCAGTGACCATTTTAAGGTTTTTTAAAAAGCTACAGGTTAGATAACAAGGCTACTAGTGCGCAGGGTTGTAACTACGAATCATGGGACCCCATAGCAAAATTTTGATAAGGGCTCCCCCCGGCTAACTCTTGCAGTGTCCACTGAGGACAGACAACAGGAGAATGGTCAGCATAGTCAGTACCTACAAGGGAGCAGAGCTGGGGATAAACGTTATAGTCTTAGTAGCAAAAATAATACTAACCATAATTATATTTATATGAGTGCTAGGACAGCGCTAGGCAAAGCTTCTCATTGCACGGAGGGTGGGGGTGGAGGGGGGAGCTGAGGTATGACTGTAGCTCTTCTATATGAAAAGTTATGTTTCCCTTTAAGCCTGCCAAAAAAAAACATATATGTCGAAGATATTTGTGGTTGACACTTTAAAATATGCAATTGCAGAGAACAGAATAAAACATACCACAGAGTTATGTCTAAAACATCCATTCTGAAGTTTATTGCGGTGCATTACGTTTTGATATATAGGATAAGAAAGGAGGTGATGTAGCAATGATGTATGCAGGTCTAGCGAATGGGATATTGTAACTCTATTAAAGGTTAGCAGATATCCTGAAGTTGCGAGACTAAAGGAGAGGTGAGAGTGCTCGTGTGCGAAATCTCAGTCTTTTCTCAAAATGGATATATAGTTCCTTTATACATAAACAAATGCTCTTTTACCTAAAGTGACACTAAATTCAGGAGTTAAAGTGACATTAAACCCTCAGATTTTTTAACATAAACCAATACTGTAATGTGCGCCTTACTGTAATCCACGTTAGTTTCCCTTCTCTTTGCTGCTCTTCCTTTTAAATCCTCATCTCTTCTCATGCCTGGGGAGAACTTCCCTTTGCAGCTGAGTGCCTCTTCCTGTAGTGCTGGCTCAGGTTGTGAACCTTCAAGTCCCCCAATGCTGTTAATAGTGAAGGGACTTGAATGTATTTTTAGGACTTCGAGGAGAACTATGGGGTCAGTGTTTTCCCCCATAGTTCTCCTTAGGGTAACGGGAGGACACAAACTAGCGTCCTCCCATCACCCTAGGCTCAGTATATAGGGAGCTACAGCTCGCGGTATACTGAGAAGCTGCAGCCGGAGAGGATCCCGACGTAGATGCCGGGATCCGCCCAGCTGCGTGACTGACAGCGGGCTCTGCCTATCTAGAGGCAGAGCCAACTTTACCCGCCCCCTTCCCCATCCGTTCCGCCAGTCAGCGCTGGCAGATCGGAGCGGGGAGAGGGGAATCCAGCCCCTCCCCCTGTCACGGCAGAGAGCCATGGCAGGATCGAGAGGTGAGCGAACGCCGGAATGTGTTCGCTCACCTCCCGATCTACTGAGCCGACCTGTGACAGTCTCATTGTCACAGGTCGGCTAGAACTATGAGGTGAGTGAAAAGCACTCCCCTCATAGTTCTCCTTTAACTCCTGAGTTTAGTGTCACTTCAATATGAACATCATGGAGGATTTCTCTTTCACGTGTTACACCACTGCTTGAGCAGAATCAGAGTCTGTGGAGAGAGGCATTTATATGGCATTAGACATCTGCTACATGATTATACCTGTCCTTCCTCGAGGACGTGCTACATACCCTGAAGGAGTGCTCCAGGCCTGAGGTGTCATCGAACGCCAGGCAGAACAAGGTGCCCAGACGTCTGTCCATGTCCTGAACGCTCATCTGAAAATCCGCGACGTCCTCTTCAAACTCCTAACGAGGTGAAACAACATGAGGGTCAGTGAGAGTAAAAAGCACACAACTTGTCAGAACTAAACTCCGCCGCAACATCCAGAAGCCTGTAAGATGACCACAGACAATGTGGTCCAATGTGTACAGTCTGAACGTTCTGCCTGTCTGTCCACCTTGGGGAGTGTAGGGGATAATGAATGAATGAATGATCGCCATATTCATGATGACGTTTTCGTTGAACAGATCTTTCCTCTGAACAAGTAGGGATTGGATAGTAAGTGATGTGCACCCCACACATGGCCAATTACACGCAGATTGGGCTACAGCCAATGGTCCATTTCAATTGTTTTTTTACAAGGTATCACCTCCTGCATATCCTGCAGATTGTCATCAAATGTCTATGGCCGCCATTACTCTTAAAGCGTTTGTCCAGCCTTTTTTTAGTTTTGAACGGAGTAGAACCCCTTTCAGGTTTCCACTGCTATGCGGGGCTGGGTTAGAAAGACTTCCCCTTGCTTTCTGTGATTGAAGTTTCATTAGACAGGAAGTAAGACGAAATATCTGACGGGACGCAGACGAAAGTAAAAAGATAGGAGACAGAAGAAGGAGAGCTCCACAACAATCGTCTCCATCAGGTGGATACATTATTATGGAATTCAGGAGCCAGTCTGTCCAATACGGGAGTCGGGAGGATTTTTAGCAGCCAGCCCTATTGACAATAACCACAGAAAACCTCAAACTTCGGGTGCCAGCTGTACATAGAGCATTGGCCACCTGGCTCCTGGAATTTGTCCATCCCTGGTCTAAAGTCTGAAAGCATTTACGCCAATGTAGAAGAAGCCAAAACATGGTCGCTGTACTCATCAGGGCTAGAAACGGCACAATTAATTTAAATTAAAAGAGAACTTTTAGGTAAGTGTTCCCCATAGTTCTCTTAAGGGTCACGGGAGGACATGTACTAGCCTCCTTCCGTGACCCGAAGCTCAGTATATCGTGAGCTACCGCTCTCTATATAATGAGACCGCAGCAGCCGGGACGGATCCCGACATTACTGTCGAGATCCACCCAGTTGCGTGAGTGACAGCCGGCTCTGCCTATCGAGAGGCAGAGCCAGCTGTGCCCGCCCCCTCCCCCGTCCGGTCCGCCAGTCAGCGCTGGAGGATCGGAGAGGGGAGGGGGGAATCCCTGCAGGGAGCCGTGACTGACAGTCATGGCTCTCTACAGGGAGATGATCGAGAAGTGATCTCGGCGCGTAGGTGTTTGCTCACGTCCCGATCTATTGAGCCGACCTGTGACAGTTTCATTGTCACACGTCGGCTCGAACTATGAGGATGAGTGGAAATCTCTCACCTCATACTTCTCCTTTAAATATGCAAAAGAGACAATCAGTTTCATAAGAAGAAACTCTGAGGAAGGATAAAAAAGATCACTGTGCTAGTTGTATGACAAAGCTAATGATCGGGTGAGGAGGATCCATGCCGGGACAATGTGTACCTGTGTGCTATAATGCATTTTTCAGTAAAGCTTGAGGAGTGCGACCAGACTTTTTGTCTGTGAATAACTGCGGATGCTAGAGCAAAACGGGCTCGGCCGGTGCCTCTAGTGCTGCTGTGAAAGTAGCAGTGATATTGGGCTACGGAAGGTAGAGATCACTGTGCTGCTTCACCTTTCACTGTCCAGTCACTGGCTGGGGGCATGTCCAGGATGGCCTGGAAGTGGGTTGAATATGGAAGGTAGAGATCACTGTGCTGCTTCTCCTTTCACTGTCCAGTCACTGGATGGGGGCATGTCCAGGATGGCCTGGAAGTGGGTTGAATATGGAAGGTAGAGATCACTGTGCTGCTTCTCCTTTCACTGGCTGGGGGCATGTCCAGGATGGCCTGGAAGTGGGTTGAATATGGAAGGTAGAGATCACTGTGCTGCTTCTCCTTTCACTGTCCAGTCACTGGCTGGGGGCATGTCCAGGATGGCCTGGAAGTGGGTTGAATATGGAAGGTAGAGATCACTGTGCTGCTTCTCCTTTCACTGTCCAGTCACTGGCTGGGGGCATGTCCAGGATGGCCTGGAAGTGGGTTGAATATGGAAGGTAGATATCACTGTGCTGCTTCACCTTTCACTGTCCAGTCACTGGCTGGAAGCATGTCCAGGTTGACCTGGAAGTGGGTTGAATATGGAACGTAGATATCACTGTGCTGCTTCTCCTTTCACTGTCCAGTCACTGCCCTGGGGGCATGTCCGGGATGACCTGGAAGTGGGTTGAATATGGAAGGTAGATATCACTGTGCTGCTTCACCTTTCACTGTCCAGTCACTGGCTGGAAGCATGTCCAGGTTGACCTGGAAGTGGGTTGAATATGGAACGTAGATATCACTGTGCTGCTTCTCCTTTCACTGTCCAGTCACTGCCCTGGGGGCATGTCCGGGATGGCCTGGAAGTGGGTTGAATATGGAAGGTAGATATCACTGTGCTGATTCACCTTTCACTGTCCAGTCACTGCCCTGGGGGCATGTCCGGGATGACCTGGAAGTGGGTTGAATATGGAAGGTAGATATCACTGTGCTGATTCACCTTTCACTGTCCAGTCACTGCCCTGGGGGCATGTCCGGGATGACCTGGAAGTGGGTTGAATGATGCTGACCATCAGACTGAGGCCATCTGGTGGCAGAAAAAAAGTACTGCAGGGAAAAATCTCTGGACTAAAGGTGAATAAGGTTTGTGTCTTCGTCTTTTAATGGGGCTATTCATTTTTATCTCCTTATTGTTGGCTGGTGTTCTTCTTAAAACATCTACAAAAATACAGCCTGGCAGATCTACTATTCCTAGCCAGAATGCTTGCTGTTAGCCGCAGACACAACAATCGTCGCCTGATCCTGCACAAACTCTGAAGTCTGTAGTCTCTGGATGGTTATATACGGCGTCTCACCTGAAAATCTGATATTTTATTTCTTGTTATTATGTATTGAGGCCTTAAATTCAGTTTGCGTGGTAAGTTCGGCCCTCGTTTGTCAAGGTGACGGGCCTTCTCGCTAACAGATCGCCGCGCGCTCTGATGTGCAGCCTCTGGCAGAACATGAAACAATCTCATCCTTTAAGGGTTTGGATATCAGTCTAATAAAAACTTTGATTAGCTGGCTAATTAAGCCCTCGCAACAGATGACTGGAGGAATAATAATCAGCCGGTCCTGTCAAGGGCGAGGAGATTGATCGCACTCCGCCGCAGAGGGTCATCCGTAGCACATGCAGCTCAAAGGATGGCCCCCCGCTCTGAAAGCCCCCCTAATTCTGGGAAGTGCTGATGATTGGCAGGTAGTCTGCTCAGCAACAAGGCTCTAAGACGGAGTTAAATTACCGTCTGAGGAGCCCAGAGACTGTCACGTCCGACCCCTTGTGTCCATCTGACACGCTACATGTGGAAAGGAACCACGTACATTGCTGCTGCTGGACGTGCTGGAGGATTCTGTAGCCCCGACTGCCCAGAGGAGCCACGTGCTGAATTTCAAGAGACGAATGCCAAGCAGATAGAAAAAGAAGATCACAATCTAACTTTATTGTGTATTTATCCATTTTTAAATTACGGCTAGTAAAAATACCTGAAACCTGTCTTTATATTACCTTCCTCTGCATAATAGTACTGGGAGAGGGAATGCAGAAGTTTAAAGCTGAACTCCGGGCAATCAGCTGGGTACACACATTAAAATACATATATGGGCGCTGTTTTGCCTGCCAAAACTTGTCAATCAAGTTCTGAGATTTACACGGCTCTGCCAGGCAGCACAGCCCTGACTGGCAGGGCAGGAGACTTGATTTGAACTCTGCTGCGTTTCAGTAAAACTTTCAGGTCCGGTCCCTCCCCAGCCTGTGACTGGACAGTGAAAAGAGGAGCAGTGGACTAATGAGCTCATCTTTCTGTTACTCTCTTTTCCAATCAGTATGCTCCTTGTTCGCACTGGAGCACTGCAGCTCAACCTATTGGCTCCTTGTACTGCTTCTCTCTCTCCCTGTCTGAACTCTGCTGCACAAAATTGCAAGACGTTGCTACCAATCAAACTCAGATACTTCCACTGCTTGCATTAAAAATTATACCTTTAATGGAGAACTATGAGGCAAGTGATTTTCACTCAACCACATAGTTTGAGCCGGCGTGTGACAATGAAACTGTCACAGGTCGGCTCTATAGATCGGGAAGTGAGCGAACACATACCATCGCTCGCTCACTTTCCGATCATCTCCCTGCAGAGAGCCGTGACTGTCAGTCACTGCTCCCCGCAGGCATTACCCCCCCTCCCCCCACTCCGATCCTCCAGCGCTGACTGGAGAAACGGATGGGGTAGGGAAGGGCACAGCTGGCTCTGCCTCTAGATAGGCAGAGCCCGCTGTCACTCACGCAGCTGGATGGATCTCAACAGCACATGCACAGTGAGCCGATCTGCCCTGGAACAGCTGACAAACCGTTGGAATGCTTGACCTAATGGGCGGTCACACATTCCATCACTGTAAAACTGGGCGGGATTACTTTTGAATGTGTGACCCCGTCACTGGTCACACATTCCAACGTAGTCACAAACTTTGATAGAACACCGGCAGATTTGGGCCTGAAACGAGGACCGGAGAGGGCTAAATATTAAAAAATGTTTTCAGCAGCACAGGAAGTGAGGGGAATCTCCGTAACGGAGCCCTGGATAGCAGGTACATACCTGAAAGAGGTTCAGATCCCTTCCTATTCCACCCAAAACTGAGGAAAAAAAAAGTTTTAGTTGGAAACACACTTTAAGGTTACTGATCCTTCCTTGGAGGAAAGGGAAGGAATATGTGGAGAGGATCTACAGAGGTTCTGATCTGGACAGATGTCCCACCATTCACCATCCTGAGGGGGATGTATGGATGCTGTGAGCAGACGTAATACCTTGTTCTCGTTGTCCAAGCAGTCGTAGGTCTTGTCAGAGAACACTTTGTACATTTCCTGAAACTCCTGGTACATATCCGCCACTGTCTGACTTAAAACTTTTCCCTTAACCCCTCCGAACTCGATTTTCTCCAGTTTTATCATGTCCAGCGCTGCGAGTAACAAACCCTGTAGAGACAAAACACTGATCAGCACGAGGGGACAGCATGCGAAGGCGAGAGGACATCATCGTCAGCTGAAGACAAAGACGTGCAAAGTATTAATCTAAAGAAACCAATCAGAATACAACTTTCTGTGAACTGAATGGAGATCTACCATCAACATCATAGAAGAGATCAAAGATCACCAGGGCGCAGTACACTTTTTCTTTTTTTTCCTAGCAACACCCCAGTAAAACGTATGGAAGGTGTAAAATGTTCAGGGGTCAGGAATAAGTAATGCGGAGTTCAGAGAGGTCAGTAGTATTTAACACAGAGTGCAGGGGTCAGGAATATGTAACACAGGGTGCAAAGGCTAGTAGAATTAACCGCAGAGTGTAGAGGTCAGTAGTATGGAATGCAGAGTGCAGGGATCAGTAGAAAGTAACGCAGAGCTCAGAGATCAGTAGTACGTAAGACAGAGTGTAGGAGTCAGGAGTATGCAACAGAGTCTCCAGAGGTCAGTAGTATGGACTGCAGCATTCAGAGGTCAGTAGTATGGACTGCAGAGGTCAGTAGCATGGAATGCAGAGCGCAGGGATCAGTAGAAAGTAACGCAGAGCTCAGAGATCAGGAGTATGTAAGACAGAGTGTAGGAGTCAGGAGTATGTAACAGAGTCTCCAGAGGTCAGTAGTATGGACTGCAGCATTCAGAGGTCAGTAGTATGGGCTGCAGAGCTCAGTAGTATGTAACACAGAGTGCAGAGGTCAGTAGCATGGAATGCAGAGCACAGGGATCAGTAGAAAGTAATGCAGAGTTCAGAGGTCAGTAGTGTGGAATGATAAGTACAGGGGTCAAAAGAAAGTAACGCAGAGCTCAAAGATCAGTAGTATGTAACAAAGAGTGTAGGAGTCAGAAGTATGTAACAAAGAGTCCAGAGTTCAGTAGTATGGGCTGCAGAGTTCAGAGGTCAGTAGTATGGACTGCAATGTGTAGAGGTCAGTAGTATGGACTGCAATGTGTAGAGGTCAGTAGTAAGTAATGCAGAGTTTAGGGATCAGTAGTAATGCAAAGTTCAGGGGTCAGGAGTAAGTAACACAGAGTGAAGGAGTCAGGAGCATATAACGCAGAGTCCAGAGGTCAGTAGTATGGAATGCAGAGTTTAGGGACCAGTAGTATGGAACACAGAGTGCAGGAGTATGTAATGCAGAGTCAAGAAGGAGCCTAGAAGGAGCCTAGAACTTCCTTCAGCTCTGCATTACCATTGTTCTACCCATCACTTGCCACGAATGATGGGTAGATCGCGGTCAAAAGGCTGCCGACCCTTGCATGAAGTATAATTCTTTGTAATACCAAATTAAAGTAGATGTAATGACTAACTGGACAAACAAGTAAAAGAGATTTTAGTGATTGGGTTTACATTTGCTTTGAGGCAAGAAGTAAAAAAAGACTTTAGGGAGACATTAAGACTTTTATCTGAATAATATAAATACAAATAATAATAATGTTAAAGTGAACCTTTCCCCCCGTTTCACTAAAAATCGCACCAGCATTCAGCTCTGCATGCGGATATGAACTCATCTCACTTTCATTAGTTAAACAAACATAGTTTTCTTTTATTTACAAGGACAGCATTTCTACTTCCTGGTCCTCTTTGGCACAAATGATGTCATCTGTGCCCAAGCATTGCATGCAGGGAAGGTTACATCAGCAGAGCATTGCTGGGAAATCTCATCTGTAATCTCACGAGATCTCAGGGAAAGGCATTTTCCTCCCCTGAGATGATGTGCATGGTCACATGCCCTAGTCACATGTGCCAGGGTTCCAGGAAGCTAATGAAGATATATTAATCTGCCCTTAGTAAAAATGGCCGCTGTGAGAAGACTAGGGAAGAAAAGAAAAATAAGATATGCTAAGAATAAAAAGCCGGCAATGATCTAGAGGTGCCTGTTTTGTAGATCGTCATCACTAAACATTTCTAAAGGGGCCCTTGCTGTCATTTTGAAGATAAGGGTAAAGTTCCTCTTTCTTTATTGTTTTACAACAAAAGCGGAGTTGGATATCACTGCCAGGCAATACAAATTAAGTATCATCCGTCGTGGTGAATTGTGAAGTTTTCTCATGTTGTTCCTGCCTGAAGACCTGCAAGTAATATATTCTATGGCTAAAACGTTGTGTAATCTGCCTCCTTAGGCATTGGCCTGTGTCTACCAATCTGGACAGGCCCGATAGGGTCACCATAGACATGACATTCTGACTGTGCAATCAATTTTAGAAGTACCAAAACTACGTAAAATGACAGCCTAACTAATCTATCCAATCAATCCGTATCCAGTCAGGCAGACCCTTGCGCAACATAGTTGCAGGTAGACCCAAAAGTGATTGCGCAATCAGACTGTAGCGTGTGCGGTGAGCTGTAGACAGATTCAGGCACTCACTAAACTCACTCTTGGGTTTGCCTTTGGACTAATAGAGTTTCTCTTTCTTTTCGGTTAGCTCGGGCCAGCAGAAAGCCAGGAAGGGGTTACGGGAGACAGAAAAGAAATCGATAAAGTTTTGTATTCTGTCGGTGTTCCTGCGAGGGAGCAGAATGTTCCCGCTAATACTGTCCATTATTTTAACTGCAAGAGGAGACTCACTCCTGCAGCAGAACGAGGGCTGCAGGAAGGGAATAAAACAAAACACTAACTCGAAAACCTACGGAGCCGTAACTCTGGGAGCAGCCAAGAAGATGGAACACATTTAAAGTGGACCTGTCAAAAACCCAGACTATTCAATCTGAACATGTGATGTGAAAATGCATAAGCAGAGCTCATCTTCAGGCAGCTGAAGTCGTATGAAATTTCCAACCATTCCTCTAAAAAAAATGTTGGTCCCACCCCCTTTCCTAACCTCTGAAGTCTCTGCATTGGTTTGTCTAGCTGCACATCACATTAAAGGACCAATAGGAAGGATCGAAAGCAGAAGGGGGGGGGGGGGGAGGAGCAAGCTAGAGTGGCCACTGAGTGGCCAGATTATACACTGACATACATTGAGTGGCCAGGTTATTATTACCACACCATCAGTACTTGGTTGGGCCGCCTCGTGACTCCACGAGATGATGAAAGGTGATGCGAGGAATCTGACACGGCACTGTTACCCTTCTGTTGTCTTGTACCAGTCTTGCCACTCTCCGTTCTGCCCTAACATTGACTGGTCGCTGACGGCCACAATTCGCACGTTCAGACCCAGATTTTCGGCTGACAGTCCAGTCTTTAAACACTTTAACAGCTGCTCTTGAACATTTAACGAATTCTGCTGTTTTGCTGATACTCGCTCCATGGCTCCGAGCGCCAACAATCATCCCACGTTCAAAGGCTGTTACATCGCGTTGTTTCCCCGTATCTTCAGAAACAAATCACTTCTACTGTCGTGGTAACCAACCTGCTTCCCTATTTATAATGGTCTGGCCCTCTAGCAACTTCAGCGCCAAATTATAGCTAATTTACCTACAAACGTCAGGTGGTCATAATAATCTGGCCACTCAGTGTATAACTTCAGCTGAGTTGTCTCTGAATCAATGGGGGTGCATTCCGCTTGTATTTTTTCTTCATCAGTGTTGGTCACCTTGAACTGGCCGGGTCTGACGGGTTTATTTGAAAAAGTCATTTTACCCAAGACCTGTATTTCACATTCTGGTAGATATAACTAAACCACATAATGGCATCAGGTCAATGACAGTTAGTGGCTTTGGTGCAGGGATTGAGGACAATGGCCACTAGGACAAATAGAGGGTGAATCTCCCCAGCGGGTTACACTTATGGCCTTTTGGATTGGATTGTAGGCCCTCCTTACTATCTTGTCTTCATGTCAGGAACCGGATGTGAACCCAGGGCCGATGCTGTAGCTGGCAGTGGTTCTACCTGCTGAGCCACCTTGGAACCTTGGATAGCTCCTTGCCTGATCTCCTGTGTAATCCTCAAAGTTTCTGCTGAACTCCTTGCTCCTCCCTTGAACTTCCTATTTAAGCCACGCCTCTGCACTAGCAATTAGTTTGTAGCGGGGCAATTCAACCTCAGATTCATTTACAGGCAATAACACCCTGACAAGGGTTCTAACCTTTCAACACTCAATATATATATCAAAGTTTTGGCTTTAGTTACATCCAAATATGTGACAAAAAAGGAAGTATTAATATAAAAACAAGCCACAGGAAAACTGTGACGAATGTTACCAGGATTGCAATAGATGACAACTATCTATCCATCATGTATTTTTCCATTTAATAAACCGAGAAGAGCTATCCACTACTCCAGCTCCGCCGCCGCCCCATGACAGGCTTTAATAGACCCGTGTGATAATAACATGTTCTTCGCACCTGCTCTGGCAGATGGGTCAGATCATTTATTTTCATCATTAGAACCGAAAGCTAAATGGAGTATTAAAAATAATACGCTCGGCTTTAACCGTCGTCTGCAGCTAATTCCTGTAAAAGAAGAAAACGTGTGCCGGGATGATTTCTAATCCTCCTTCCCGGCTTCACAGCGACGAGGATATCCCCCTCTGGAATGTAATTACTTCTCTGCAGTAAATTGGATTTATCTGTGTTAAGGCGAGTGCTAAGACACGAGCCGAGCGGGCCTGGCGGGGAGGAAAGGGTTACTCAGCCAGGGAAGGCATCAATTTTCTAAAATTTAGAAGACTTCAACCTGCATTGAAGATCAACTCCAACCAGATCTATAAAACACCTTTTTGTTAATGATTCTATTCCCTTAAAGTCACAAAACTCCATTCAGCCAATGTCATGGACATAACTGAAATCAGCCATGCAGTGGGAGTGGCTGCTCTGAAAGTTGACTGATGAAAGTAGGAGGTGATTAGGCAGACTATAAAAAGGTACATACATATCAAATATCTGACTGTCATGCAGAGCAGTTATCACTATCGGCCCTCTGATGGAAACTGCGTCTGCATTTTCATTCATACTGTGTATAGCCTGCAGTGTTCTGCAAAGTGTTCGCTGCATAAGGGTGCTCTCTGGGATAGGAAAAGGGTCCAATCACATGACAGGTCATGTGATAAGGCATTTTGGTGAAGTCAGCCAGAAGCAATTACTACACCCCACAACAATAGCTGTAGGTTGGCAGACCTCAAGCACAGAGCCTGCTGCTCTCCTGATGCATTTCGGGGCTCGTCCCCTTCACCCCTGGCTATACCAGTCTCTCCTCCATCTTCCCTTTATGTCAGTTTCAAAAGGGTGGAGCAATACCACACTGTGGTACCACACACATTGCCGTACTAGAGAGAAACGTGCTATTCCACGCATGTGCAGAAGATCACCTCCAGCCGTGCAAAAGCGCGCCAAAATGGAGCACAGGAAGTGCTCGAGCACCACCATATTTGCTGGATTATCTTTCAGCTCTCCTGTGTTCCTGTATTCCTGTTATATTTTTCTTGTCTTGCTTTAAAATCCGGATTGGACCTGACTATTCTTGTTTGCTGCCTGCCCCCTGACCTCGGATTGGATTACTGGACTTTGTTTTTGCCTGACCCCTTTGTACTGTGATTGCTCGATTAGATCTGACCTCGGATCGATTACTTGGATTTCGTTTAACCAGCATCACTGGATATCGGCTTGCACTGTGTTATCACCAATGGCACTCACGCCACTCACTGTCTACTTGGACTCTGTCCCCAACCTCAGAGTCCTCGGGACACGAGGTGCAAGGGAGGCCTCCTCACACGTTCAGTCTCTAACCAGGTACGTGACATGCAGATTATGGGAGCATGCTTACCTTTATTGTACCGGTCCAGTGCACCCCACTTTCTGGGCTTAGGTCACCCCTGAAAAAACAAAAACAATCCTGCCCTCTTCCTTCCCTATCCCACAATGCAATGTTCAATGCCTGGTCTGATCACATGTCAAAAACACCTTTCGGAACGCAGCTGTTGGGACTCTGGGGTCCTCATATAGCTTACAACCTACAGGGCGTGCTGGATGAGCTTTAGCAATCGATGCTTTTTTTTGTCACAGTATTTATCTAGTATTTATCTATCAGATTATAATTAAACATCATTTTTAGATACTTGTGTGATCCTGCCACGGAAATGTAAGATAATGCTGATCTTCTAAAACTGTACCAACAAACCAAACAACGAGAAGGTTCTGTTAGAAGAACAGCTTTGCCAGGCCCCCTAGATCCCCAGTAGGCGAGATATTTTTACCATATAGTATCACCTGTTAGTCTCTTGCTTTCTCCTCCTGTCCTGGTGGGCCTGAGTTGGTGTCTTATTTTTGCCCTCTTTGATAAAATAGCCCAGACCATCATTAACCCCAACATTCCAACACAGCCATCTCTTGCGCTCACCTCGATGGTCTCCAGCCTACTGATGAAACCTTCTAGCCTTGCAAAGACCAATATCGATGGAAAGTCCCAAGATATCACCTCTTGCCCATTCTTATAGTAGCTGGGTAGCTTCTCCCTTTGGTCTTCAAAGGTTTGTATCAGGAAGCGCAGTGTAGACAGAACCTCTTGGACTCTGGGGAGACTCTCCTCCACATCCCCCTTCAGCAGGTCTTCTGGGTTCAGATAATTTCGAGCCTACATTGGACCACAGGATAAAATAATTATGATGTATGGGCTGTTATATCTCTATACCTTGCTAAATAACTGCTGAGTTAAACAAGCTAGGCAGACTGAGGGTCTCTTGGGTTATGACCAAACTAACCAATTGGATTAAGCAGCAGTGAATCATAACCTGCAAATGTAATGAACACTTGCTCTCTATGAAAATACATATATCAGCCATTCTCAACCAGAGCTCTGGGGAACCCTAGGGTCTCTCAAGAGTATGCTAGGGGTTCTTAGAATAGCAAGTAGTGGCAAATGTACCTCCTGACTGAAGGTTCCTGCATAGTCCCAGGACCAACATCACCTGGCAAATTCATGGGATGATAAACAATGAACCACCTTTAGGTCTTGTCTAGGTACAACATATTCATCATTTATTTATTATTGTATCAACAACTTTCTAACCAAGCTATGAATCTTTAGCTGGGGTTCCCTGAGACTTGAAAATTATTTTAACGGTTCCTCTGAAGTGAAGGGGTTGAGACAGGCTGCACTGTATGGCCAGATGTTTGTGGACACCTGACCTTCATTCCTATATGAGCTTTATTGGACATCCCATTCCAAAACCGCGGGCATTTATATGGAGTTGCCCTCCTTTTTCAATACAACACCCTCCACTCTTCTGAGAAGGCTTTCCACAAGATTTTGGAGGGTGTCTGTGAATGTTTGTGCCTATTTGTGAGGCCAGATAAACAACAGATAAACAGTGTCACCAGCACTCCAAAGGTTGTCCAAGCAAAGTTCTTTTTATTCCATGTGTAAAGGTACATCACCAAGTGTTGAAATGTTTCGGGATGCATCCGGTTCCTTCATCAGGCAAAACAAAGTGCGGTGGGATCCCCTACATTTGTGAGGTCAGGTACTGATGTTGGATGAGGAGACCGGGTTCACAATTGGTGTTGCACATCATTCAAAAGGTGTTCAGTAAGGTTGGGGTCAGAACTTCAAGTCCACACCAAACTGGTTTTAACCAAGCTTAAATGGAGCTGGAACAGAATAGGGATTTCCTTGGAAGAGCACAATTCCATAAAATGTTTTTGTGGACGGTAAAATTACCAGAACTCTTCCCTGGAAACACCTGAACTCAATCATTTGGAGGGGGTCCACATAGTTCTGGCCATATAGTATCATTACAAATGATATACAGAAAATACACACATGATCACACATTCATAAGATTATTTACAATAAACTGATCACATTTACATGGTAAAATATTTCACAACAAAGGACAACGGACCGCAGAGTAAGACATATATATGTGGAGTTATGTCTGAGGGGGGCAATGCAGAGCCACTCACCTGCTGGATGAAGAGGTTGCAGATTTCTTGCAGAAGGACGATAATGCGGGTCGGGGTGTTGTAGTACTTGGAGTGAGCCCACACCAAACAGAGGACATGCATCAGAGGGGCAATCAGAGGCTTCACCTCATTAAATTCCACGCTCTCAATTTCTTCAAAATGGCGCTGGAGAGGTTTGAGGTGCAGATTGATGTCCTGAGCCTCCGACAAAGCTGGAGGTGAGAAGCAGATATTAAGAAGTACAGAAGAAATGCAGCACCCCACACCC